TGCTCTCCTCCGAAACACCGAGGTGAAGGCCCCACCTGGCCTTCGGCTGCAGCTTTCCACCACGCTGCTGCTCGGGGACCAAGAACTGCGCCATGCAGCCCCATACCCGTGCCAGCGACAAGTCGGGCTTCTTCCCGATCAGCAGCTGGTGTGGCGTCATCCCCGGCTGCAGTGTCGACCGCTCCAGGCAGTTGCGGACCCAGACGGCCTGCCGCAGGGCGAGGTGCCACCAGTGGTGCTGCACGCCCATGTGCAGCAGCATCGTTCGCACCGACTCCACCACCGTCCTCATCTCGCGCTCCGCCATGCCGTTCTGCTGCGGGGTGTAGGGGCAGGTCAGGTTGTGGACGATTCCCTTGCCGTTCACGAAGTCAGTGAACTGCTTCCCGAGGAACTCCCCTCCCCGGTCAGAGCGCAGCATCAACACCGACTTCTTCGTCTGCCGCTCAGGGACCGCCAGCCACTGCACGAACTCCCGCAGCGCATCCGACTTCTTGGCGACCGGCCTCACCCACACGTAGCGGGTCTTGCGGTCCTTCAGAAGCAAGAAGTACAGGCTGCCATCCTTGGCAGCCACCCGGAATGGCCCGCACAGGTCGACGTGCACGACGGCCAGCACGTCATCGGCGTCGGAGCCCTGGTCGGGGAAGGTGTGCCGCGCCAGCTTCCCGCCGACGCACGAGACGCACGGCAAGTCGGCGCCAGTCGCTGACTTGAGGTCCAGCCCAGTGCCGACCTCGTGCTTTGCCAAGCTCCGAATGGTGTTCATGTCGACGTGTGCTAGCCTCGCATGCAGCCTGTCCGGCGTCAACTTCGTCACCGAGACGATCGCCTGCAGAGCCACGACCTCTGTCGTGGGCGTTGTCGACTTCGCCGAGCAGGGACGCTGGTCGGTGCAAAGGACTCGCCCAGTGTAGGACGCCTGACCGAGGATGTCTCCCGCCGCCGAGACGAGTAACATCCCGTCGCCGTCCTCTTGCAGCTTCACGCCGTTCTCCTTCAACTGACCGGCCGAAAGCAGGTTCGCTCGCACGCCCAGGACATAGAGCACGTCGGGGATGAGCACCTGCCTCCCGGCCTCCCCTTGCAGAGCGACAGTGCCGCGGCCCTGGATGTCCTGCAGCGCCCCATTGAAGCCACGCACGTGCTTGACATCGCCGCTCGGCTGTAGGTCGACGAAGACCTCCTTTGTCCCCATCAAGTGGTGGGAGCAACCACTATCGAGAAGAACGACTGCCGGGTTTGCCTGCACGGCTGCCGCCATCGCCTGGAAATCCTCGCCGGCCTCCGGCGCCAGCGAGACGGTCGGCTCCACGACGCCGACCAGCGAGCACGACGCCTCCTTGTCGTCTCGCCCTTTGCTGCCAGGAGAGGAGTCGGCGTCCTTCACCGAGGTCGACGACCTGGTCGACTGCTTCTCCTTGCGCGGCTGGTTTCTGACTCGATGGGGACGACGGCTGCCAGACCTCCCGCGGCCTCCCTTGGCGTCGTCGTCGTCGGAGTCACTGCGGTCGGGGCACTCGAAGGAGAGGTGGTCGGGGTCGCCACACAGCCAGCACTCCCGACGTCGACTTCCTCCTCCACGACCGCTATTCTTGGCCGACTTCTTCTTGTCGACGTTCGTGGTCGGCTTCCAGCCAGTGCTACCACCGCCGACATACTGCCCGCGATGCCCCGGTCGACCTCCTTGCTTCACTGGGGCGACGTAGTTCACCTGTGCAAGGGGCTCCAAGGGCCGCTCAGCTTCCTGCATCGCCTCATCCTGCAGGATGTATGAGGTAAGAGAATCCTCATTGAGTGTCGCCCTAGTACTCGGCGCCAACGACAGTCGTTTCAGCAGGTTGTAGCTGCTCATGAGCCCTTTGATAACGTGTGTGAGGTACGATGCCGTGGAGTACTGCACGTCGGCCATCCTCATGATGGCAAGAATTCGCCGAGCCCGGTTGCAGTAGTCGGCCGCCGTCTCCTCTTCGCCCATCCGTATGTGCGACAGCTGCTCCTCAAGCTGGCCGATGTACAGGGCGTCGGTGACCTGGTACGTCGACTCGATGAAGTGCCATGCTCGGTGACCGGCGTCGAGGTACTCCCTGCACGACTTCAAGGCGATCTGCACGCCCGGCAAGCAGCACCGCGAGATGACCGTGAAGGTCAGCAACTACACGGCGCGAAACTCCGCACTCAAGTCAGGGTAGTGTTCCTCCGGCGTCGCCACAGTGCCCCTGGCGAAGCCTATCATCCCGGCCATCTCCAGCTGGGGCTCGATGGCTTCCTTCCAAGTGAGGATATCAGGTCGACCAACAAGCAGGGGGGTGACCGAGATCCTGTCCGGCGTAAACTTGAAGTAGCCGTAGCTCGGTGCAATCCCGCCTACTGTCACGTGGGTCGCCGACATAGGCGACAAACTGCTTCGTCGACCTCCGACGTCGCCTTGCGAGGAGCATGCAGCCGTTGACAACCGCATCCCTCGCGCCTGAACGCCGCCGACTTCATCGGCGTGTATCACACCTCGCTGCCTCGACGTGCCTCCCGCATTGCTGCCAACTTGGTCACCACCGGCATTGACTCCCATGTCGATGCCGCCCTCGTTGTTCACCGGTCGAGGAGAAGCTGGTCGAGCAGGGTGTTCGTCCGCCCACACCGAGCGGATGCCTGCCTCGATGACCGCCAACGGTAGGTTTGGCCCGTACTCGTTGGCCTCATGGCGTCTCCTCGCGTCCTCCAACTGTGCCTCCAGGGTGTCCACCACTCCTACGTCACCTACAGCGCCTACCATAGTGACTTCTGCACAGCTGCCGGCCTACAAACACGAATTAGGTAAGTGACCACTACGTCGACCTAACCGAAGGGGTAAGTCGTGTGCCGTCCACGCTCACCGCACCATGCGGAGAATACTCTTTCAATGGGAGCTAGACTATGGGCTAGGCACGGGGTAGGAGGGATCTCTGCGTTCGTTCACTTAGTCGTTCTCTAGCACTTGTGCGTTCACAGAGCAAAACCGCAAGAGTTTCACTAGCAAAAGTTGAGAACAATGGTAGCAACTAGATTGGCAAGATTGACTACATCAGAAGCCTAGCATACAAGTCGACCATCAGCTCAGCACGAAGGCGACTTGCCAGCTAGTCGACCTCAGGCGTCTTCAGGCGTCCTCGGTCGACTTGCAAGGCTGGCGTGCCAACACACCAACAACAGGCCAACACACGTGCTCATGTGCGCACACCTACTTCGCAGGTGCAAGGTGACGGTAACGCCATGCACCGTCACGCACATTGCGCAGGTGCCAAGTCGACCACATGTCGACGGTTGCACCTGAGGGACCACGTGCCACCGAATCGCAGGTCGACATTGCCAACCTACCTGGGCGACAGTCGCGAAGCTCGCAGACCTCGTCGTCCGGGTAACCTGGTCAACTAGGCAACCATGTCGACCAGGTGTGTCATCCCAGGCCCCGTCGACCGCCCAGGTCGACGACAACCACATGCCATCCTCACCAGGCCGACCAACTCCAGGTCGACAACCCACCTGGTCGACCAACTCCAGGTCGACCAGTACACCTGTCAGCCGACCACACCCAGTCGGCTTCCCCTGGTCGGCGTCACCCGAGTCACCCTGGTCGGCGTCGACCACGCCCGTCGACCAACTTGCCCACTGTTGCAGGTCGGTTGCACTCCTCACACCCGACCCCGAGGTCGGCTCCGCCCAAGCGAGGACGGGGCCAACGACAACTCCCGTTGACAAAAAGTCTCGGGTTCGAATCCCGGTGTATGCACATGCCACCATTTACGTTGTGCTGTGTCTCGGGCCTCCCTATGTGGGGCAGTGTCAGAAGACCTACACTGTGGTGTCAGAGGTGCACTGGAGATCCTTGATTGATCCTAGGGAAGGGTTACATGCACATTGGTCTAGGGGGTTACGGGCGCACTTACCCGCTACACAAACAAGCCCTTTTATCCCAATGATTAGTGGTTGGGATGTTGAAAACATATTTTATATAAACTGTCTTTTGCATTAACTGTAGTGTAGGTTCATACTTTGTTGGTGGTGCACCCATAGCTCTTGCCTATAGATACTGCTGTTTCTATAGTGCAAGCACTTTTCTCTTCGGCCAAACTCTCTCGTCATCTCTTGCCTAGCTCAAAACCGTAGCTATGGATTCTAAGGATGCTCCTAACCTACTCCTACTTATGCTACTATTCAAATATGGGATTCTGAGATTCTGACATGTGGATCCCTGATCGATCCTGTGAAGGGTTACAGGCCTGTTGCCTAGGGGGTTATGGGCGCACGGACCCGCTACTTAACAAGCCCTATTATCCCAGTGGTCTAGTGATTGGGATTCTGACAGGGTTCGCAACGTGGGGCGAAGAGGTTCAGATGTAGATTATATGAATATGTTTGGCCACGTTACGAATAGTAAATTATAAGAAACACTGTACACTCTTGACAGCAGCAAGCGAAGCAAGCAGTAAAGAGTATGAAGGAAAAAAGGCAGATTGACGCGAAAGGTCGCGTGCGGTTACGAAGCATCTGGACCGTCAAGGCAGACAGCATCGGACAGCTGCAGTGGCCAGGATTCCGCCGGGAACATTTCGTAACCGTATGGAGTCGCACAGTTGGAGTTCGCTAATATGTGAATGTACCCCATAGAGTACATGGATAGCTATGTCGTTTCATATTCCCCTGTACTCTTGTTTATACGAATATATTTGCATGTTTTTATCATCTCAGTTATTTTAAACCCCCCTGATTCGATGTCACTATATTCCGCTGCAACCAGGGCTGACGTTTCAATTTTTTTTTTTTTTTTTTTTTTTTTTCATTTTACTATGATGCTACTTCGGCCAGATTTTGGCCACTCTGATTGCTCAGTCTCCAGGAATGTTGTAGTCTATTCTCTGAGGGTTGGCAAGTTGAAATCAGAGTCCTTGTATTTTTTTTTTCGCACGCAAAGAGTTCTCCTTACTTCGCCACACAACAACACAAGCTACACTACAATCAGAATCCTAGTGTAGCGGCTTATCCATGTGGTAAGTCTCTTCCCCCTCCTCGCCATCGGACAGAAAGGGGTTGTCTTCTTCGTCTGAGTAATCTCGGGGTGGCGACTGCTCAATCTCCTGATCCATCTCCCGCTCGTCACCCTCGTTGCCGGACTCCACGAACTCCTCCTCGAGAGTCGGCTCACTGGGTCCCTCTTCTCCCTCCTCCGGTTGCTTCCCCTTGCGCTTCCGATCATCAGCTGGGAAAACAACGCTTTGCGCCAGGCGCCTCTTCTTGAGGCTCTTCCAGGTGTCCAGCACCCTAGGCCAGTCCATCTCGTACTGCAGCAGAGAGATCTGCATCAGCTCCGCCAGCCGCGCGTTGCACACAGACCCACCGACCCACGACTCAATCAAAATCTGCCATGAAAACCCCCGCTCGCACTCCACAGTTGATAGTGGCAGAACTGCCAGCGCCTGCCACAGCAACAACAGGTTGGGCCAGCGCATGCCAGACAATAGGACATAAACATAGACTTGAAAAAGGGTCAGCTTGAGAAAAAACATATGGCACACACTAAGCAGGGTGACGTGCCTCTGAGCGTCGCCGCTCCCCATGAAGTTGGCCAGGCCCTGCGCGAAGGACTCCTCCTCGTCGTGAGACTCCATGATGGGGCACCATGTTGCCAGCTCCTGCGAGGCTTTTCTCTGGTCAAACCCCGGGAGCTTGTTCTTGAACAGGGCGCTGCAGCCAGTCCTGGCACTTGCGTTCGCGGGCGTGCTTGCTTTTAGGCCACTTCGAAGCGCGAAACAGCCTCGTCGACCCCATCCCCCGCATGTCGTCCAAGCAAAACAGGAGCCGATTGACGCAGTCCTTTGACACACTTTGACCGTCTGCCCCGACCGCTTCCCATACAGCGTCAGAAACTTCGGTTGCCACCCGTTGCCGCTTCCACCAAACGAGGCGTTGGTGTTGAGGTACCTGTGCTCGAGGTCACCGGTGATCGACTCGACGGTCTTTGCCACCTCTGTGACATCGACCTGCGCACAAGCGTGAGAGTAGGTTAGAAGATGCTTATACTGAGAACATGGCCAAGCAACAGACCCTGGCTCACTTGATGCTTCTGGAATGAATGGTTGAGATTGTTCATGTCGCCGAGGATGTCAGCGAGGAAGAAGAGGCAGAACTAGAACTTGTACGACGTCACAGTCTTGTACAACTCGTGCTCCTTCTCGTGCAACAGAACAATCCCGGCTCCAAGCACCTTGCACAGTCACTTCACCACGTCGCCGTGTGACAGCCATCGCACGGCGTGGATTCCCTCCACCTCGAGATTCGTGTTGTATATGATGCGCTGCAGGTACTTGAACCTCTGGCTCCAGTGGCTTGAGCTGCCCAGGCGTTCTGCCAGCGTCCGCACAACGCTGTCCACCATGGCGAGATCTGGATTAGTCGTGGCGGCGTCCTTCACCGCCAATGCCTCCCTGCAGTTTGAGACAGACAACATCGTCAGGAAATCTACTATCGGGTTTAAAAGCACGATACAATAGCAGATAGTTGGTGCCACCGATTGTCTCACGTGTGTGCGATGCAGTGAGTTGACACAAGATGCGGCACATGTTCCCGCAGTCGAGTCACGAGCCCGTCGTCACAACCAATCATCACCGACGCTCCGTCCGTGCTGATGCCCACCACTTTGTTGATGTCAATGTTGGCAGTGTGCAAGTGGTTCAGCAGAATCGCCAAGAGCGAAGCTGCATCCGCCCTCTCAACAGTTAGAAGGGTGAGATATTCGGTAGCGACACGGCAATTGCGCAAGAAAGTTATGTACACAATCATATGCTTCCCGCGAGTCCGGTCGGTGCTCTCGTCCGTGCTCAAGCCGAGGAAGTGCGAAGAGGCGATGCGCTGCATCTGCGTCTGAGTCAACCAGGTGCTGAGGCAGTGCACCATCTGCTGGAACCCGTATCTGCATGGGGTACGGCAAACAAACACATCAGTATTAAAAGACGTGTAGATCACGGGCGGTTAAAATACAATCTATATAACACACCTCGTGAGGTACACCCCGTAGGGTTGCTTTGGGATGTCGGGGGAGTCCTGCTCAGCGAGATGCCGCATCAGCGTTGGGAACATGCTGATGGGCGCGTCCTCCTGGCACAGAAACTGCACCGACCTCATCAGCTGGACCGCGCGCCTTCCCTCTACATCCACGTTGATGAAGCGGTCGATCATTGTCTGGCCCTTTGAAATAGCCTCTGCAATCTCCGCCTATCGCTGCATCGCCTCCTTGTGTACCGATGTGTGCTCGTGGATGCGTATGGTCTGCGTCTGCATGTCTCGTCCGCCGTCGCCAGGACCAGAGTACTTGGTAGTCTCCTTGCCGTACGAGAGACACATGCTGCACTTCATACTGGGGCCACCATCTTTAGCGCGAACCAAAAGAAGCCATGGGAATTTGGGCAACAACTGACTCTCGTATTTCAGACTTGCCTCAATGAACTTCTGCTCCGTTACCTCGGCCCTTGACAGCACAGGAGACTTGGTGTCCTCGCGTACGGGTATGTCCGCAGGTTTGGGTTTGGACTCTTTGGCGGCCTCTATTAGAATCAGGAACTAGGTGCTAGTAACTAAGTACGAAGAAGTGATGTCGATTAGGTATGGAGGGGGGGTACAAGAGTGTTGAGGAAAACTAGTTGTACCCTCTAGGGATAACTCCTACACAACCTAGAAACATATAAACATATAAATGTTTTGACACACCCCCATAGGTGAGGGAGGGGATAGCCAAACCGAACAGCGGTCACAAGACCAGTCAAGCAAGAGAACAAGCAAGGCAAAGCCCAGAGTGGATCTCAAGGACACCACATAATCTGAGCACAAGAAAGCGGACACACGGCCAGTTCACATGCAGAGTTATAATAGCAAGGTAGTACACTGATTACAACCTAGCAAGTGTAAGCATGCAGGTATACTCATATATATCAGTGTACAACAAGAGCAAGATCAAGAGACAAGCAAGTGAGGCAGAGTGGGCACAAGCCCAAGAGCAGTGCAGAAACGCTAATGATCACCAGACCCAAGGGCCTTGGTGAAGACATCAGTAGTATTGGCCCGCGAGGCCACGTAGGAAAGGCGGAGCTGACAACGCTGCTGCAGCTCTCGCGCAAGAAAGGAGCGAAGAGCAATGTGCTTCGTTCTGTGCTCCAGTCTCTGCTCGTGATACAAGGCAAGCATTGCCTTGTTGTCGACGTACAGAACTGGAGGAGAACGAGGCCGCTCCTCCAAGTCATTCAGTAGGTAGGTCAGCCAGCATAGCTCCTGTGTAGCCATGGCCCCAGCCTAGATCTCGGCCTCACAACTGGAACCAAGCACAGAAGAAGAACGAGTGGACATCTACGAGACAGAACCAGAGCCAAGACTGAAGGTGTAACCCTATGACGAACGCTGAGTCGCCTGGTCGTCGGCCCAAGAAGCGTCGGAGTGTCCTGCGAGTACCACTAAACCCCGTCCTCCAAGCACGAGCCCCATGTCCGATGTACTGCACAAGTAACGCAGTACCCTCTTCGCAGCATCCCAGTGCACCTTTCGGTGTCGACAGGGAGCCACGTAGCGAGCCAGAAGGTTGAGAGGGTATGCGAGGTCAGGACGCGTGCAAGTCACAAGCTCTGGGTACAGACCACTCGGCTCCCACAAGCTCTGGGTACAGACCACTCGGCTCTACGGACTCGTCTGAAGGCAACCCACAAGCTCTGGGTACAGACCACTCGGCTCCCAGAAGGTTGAGAGGGTATGCGAGGTCAGGATGCGTACATGAGGCAACCCACAAGCTCTGGGTACAGACCACTCGGCTCTACGGACTCGTCTGAAGGTGGAGCTGAGAGCGAGTGGCCGGTAGACAGAGGAGTGGGCTGTGGCGAGGAGAACTGGAAGCCAAAGTGTTGAAGGACCTGGTGCACCATGTGTGACTGAGTCAGAGTGATGGTGCGTCGTGCTCTGTCCCGGGTGATCTGCAGGCCAAGATAGCTCCGCAGCTCACCCAGGTCAGTGCAGGTGTGTCTCTCCTGCAACTCCGTCTTCACTACGGCCAGCGCCTCCGTGTCAGCAGTAGCACAAACCAAGTCGTCAACATACACGAGAACGTAGAACGGCGGCAGGGTAGTGTCGGTGCGCAGAAACAGTGACGGGTCAGCAGTCGAAGGAGCAAACCCAAGAGCCGCAAGTGTCGTGCTCAGTGTGTCGTGCCACTCGTGAGGTGCCTGACGCAGGCCTGGTCGCCATAGGCTCCACTGGGTACCCTCAGGAAATGAACCAGTGAAACCAGGTGGACGGCGCAGCCAGATGGCCTCGTGAAGGCTACCCAGCAAGAAAGCTGTGGAGAATTCAAGGGAGTGCAGCTCGTAGTCACGCTGAGTTGCAACGTGTAGTAACACCCGAAGAGTAGTCATCTTCGGGGTAGGGGAGAAGGTATGGAAGAAGTCGACCCCCTGTCGCTGACTGAAGCCTCGAGCAACGTAACGCGCCTTGAAGGCAGGCGGAGAACCCGGCGGCCGCTTCACCCTGAATATCCACATGCCATTGACAATGTTAGCCCCAGGTGGGGGAAGCTCGTCGACGTAGGTGCCTGTGGACTTCCAGGAAGCCATCTCTGCGTCCATGGCTGTCTGCCACTGAGAGGAGTACTCACCCGAGATCGCCTCTCTGTAAGAGCGCGGGGTGGGGATGTGAAGTGCATCCGGGTCTCCCTCAGGGTCAAGCAGCATGGTCGTGAGATGAGGTGCAGTGGCCGCAAGACACTCCAGCTCCTCCTGCTTGTCCTCAAGAAAGTCACAGCCAAGGGCAACCTCACCCCCGACGGACGGAGGACAGGCAGGGTCAGGGTCAGAAACGAGACTCTCACGGTAGTCTAGGCGGTACGCAGTAGCAAAGTCAACTAGCTCGGCGACTAAGGCAGACGGAGCAGGAGACAAGAGCGTAGGGTCCGTCACAACCGTAGCAAGAAAGCGAGTAACAGTCGGACTGGACGCATGAGCAAGGTCAGACGGAGGGTCAGCACCAGCGAGAAGAGAAGACTCAGGAGGTGAAGGCGAGACAACACGCAGTGGAACAGAGGAAGGACGGAGTGTCATATCATGAGTGCCTGGGACAGTCAGAGCACGAGAACGACGAACACGAGGAACACGAGTACGGACAGAAGCTCTAGTCTCAGGCTCTCGACACTCAGGAGTGGAAGCACGAGTCTCAGGCTCTCGACGCTCAGGAGTGGAAGCACGAGTCTCAGGCTCTCGACGCTCAGTCAGGGACTCTGTCACAGCAGTGTAAGGAGCAGGAGCAGGCAGTGGGGAGTGAGGCAGGAGCTATGAGAATAGTAACAGAGGAGTAGTACCAGCGACGGGGAACTGAGTAGGAGCTGGCGGAAGGGCGAGAAGGTGGCTAAGCGCACCAGCAGGTCTAGTACCTCCAGTACCAGTAGGACCTCCAGCACTAGCAGCTCCAGTACCTCCAGCACCAGCAGCACCTCCAGCACCTCCAGCAGCTCCAGCACCTCCAGCACCAGCAGCTCTAGTACCTCCAGCACCAGTAGTACTGTCAAACTTATATGCTATAGTCTGTTTAGGCTGTAGTGGGGTAGTCCTTATAGGTTACAACACTTTTAGGTTTCCTATATGTACCCACCTGCTTTCTAGTTCAGTCATTCATTCGCTCACATTCTAACATGGTATTCTGAGCAGGTTCCCTAGTGGGAACGTTTTTAAGGGCCCACCACAATTTTTTTTTTCCTGCCCTGCCCGAAGCACGCATCGCGCCCTGCCCGTCGTGGCCCCTTTGTCGCCCGTCCCGGCCCCTGCTGGACGCGACCCCTACGGCCCGTAGCGGCCCCTACTGCCCGTCGCGGCCCTAGCCCGTCGCGGCCCCTACTGCCCGTCGCGGCCCCTACTGCCCGTCGCGGCCCTAGCCCGTCGCGGCCCCCTGCTGACGCGGCCCCTGCTAGCGCGGCCCCTACTGACGCGGCCCCCTGCTGGCGCGGCCCCTGCTGACGCGGCCCCTGCTGACGCGCCCCCCTGCTGGCGCGGCCCCTGCTGGCGCGACCACTGCTGACGCGGCCCCCCCTGCTGTCGCGACCCCCTGCCGTCGCCACCCCTACTGGCGCGGCCCCTACTGTCACGGCCCGGCCCTGCTGGCGCGGCCCCTGCTGACGCGGCCCCCTGCTGACGCGGCCCCCCTGTTGACGCGGCCCCCTACTGGCGCGGCCCCTGCTGGCGCGACCGCTGCTGACGCGCCCCCCCCCCCCACCTGCTGTCGCGGCCCCCTGCCGACGCCACCCCTACTGGCGCGGCCCCTACTGTCACGGCCCGGCCCTGCTGGCACGGCCCCTGCTGACGCGGCCCCCTGCTGACGCGGCCCCCCCCCCCTGCTGACGCGGCCCCCTTGCTGACGCGGCCCTGCTGGCGCGGCCCATGCTGATGCGGCCCCCTGCTGACGAGCCGAGCCGCGCTGCCCTTTTGCCTGCTCTGCTTCTGCTGCCACTGCTTCTACTGCTACTGCTGCTACTACTACTATGGCTAGCCCTACTGTTCTCACCTTTGATGCTGAGGGGCGTGCAGTTGACTTTGACATGTGGGTTGACGACCTGCAGCTCTTTCTTCAGTGTGATTCTAGGGATGGGGTATCCCTTTTCGATCACACGTCCGGTGTTTCTACTGCTCCTGCTGCCACTGCTGACAGTACGGTTCGCTCGCAGTGGACCACTCGTGACGCTGTTGCTCGTCTTGCTGTTCGTAGTCACCTGCCGCCTGCTGAGCGCGCGCATTTTGGCCAGTACAAGACTGATCAGTCTTTGTACGACGCTGTAGTTGCGCGCTACTCCTCCCCAGCCACTGCTGCCCTCAGCCGCCTCATGCTGCTGTACCTTTTCCCTGACCTTGCCGCCTTTGCCACAGTCGCTGACCTAGTTGCTCACCTCCGCACTAGTGACGCCCGCTACCGCGCTGCCCTTCCCACTGAGTTCTGTGCCAAGACCCCCCCCCCCATGTACATCACCCTTTACTACCTAGTCACCCGCCTCCCTGACTCCCTTTCTTCAGTCAGGGACCACTTTCTCTCCCTTTGCCCCACCGAGCTGACTGTCGACCTGCTAGAGGAGCGCCTTGCTGCAGCTGAGAAGAGTATCTTAGCTGTAGGTGCTTCTCGCGGCGACCGTCGCACCCCTTTCTTTGAGGGGTGTTCCCCTGTCC